GCCTTTGCTGATTTTGAACCATGTAGTGTTTCCTTGCTCTGTTCTGTGGACTGCTTTCTGGTGCAAGTACAGGTTTCTCATGAGCATAATCAAGTGCTCTGGGATTCCCACTCTTTTCAGGGTTAGCCACAGTACTTAGGATCTAATGAATACAGAATATCCCATGGATTATCAAAAGAACAAAGAAGTTATGTCTTAGAGAAGGCACAGCCAAGGTTCTGCTTAGAGTAAAGGATGATGAAGCTCTATCTCACATACTTTGGGCATGTTGTTAAGAGAGGCCAGGCCTTGAGAAAGGACGTTATGCTTGGAAAGGTGGAGGGACAGCAAAAGATTCCAAGCCTGTCTTAATCTGGGAGCTCCACCAAACACTGTCCACGACGGGTAACCATTATGGCATTTGACACACCATTAAACATCACAGTGGCACAGTGTTCAGCATTATAACAACCCCAGGTTACTTCAGTACAGCAAATTGACAGTCTAGTGCTGTACCACTTAGAATGTTTGTCCCAGACATATTAACACCAGGCCTGAGGGCCTTCACAGTTGTTGTTTGTTGTTATGTGCCATCGAGTCGCTTGTGACTCATAGTGACCCTATGTACAACAGCTCTAAACTCTGCTCTGTCCTGTGCCAATCTCATTGTCTCTGACACATTCATCCTGATTGCCCCAGTCACCAAATCAATCCACCTCCCAAAGGGCCTTTCCCTCCTGCGCCTGCCCTCTACCTTCCTAAGCATGATGTCCTTCTCCAAGGACCGTCTCTTCTTACAGCATGACCAAAGTATGTCAGACGAAGTTTCAGAATCTTTGCCTCCAAGGAGCAGCCTGGTTTAACCCTCTCAAGGATGAACCTGTTTGATTTCTTAGCAGTCCATGGTACCCTCAACACTCTTCTCCAACATCAAAGCTCAAAAGCATCAATTCACCTTCTCTCCTCCCTGGTCATTGTCCAGCTCTCTGACGCATATCAAGTGATTGCAAAGACTATGGCCTGTACCAGACGCACCTTAGTCTCCAGAGACACACCGTTGCTGTAAAAGCCTTCACAGTAGATTATAAAAATTCAAATTCACTGTCATTGAGTTGATTCTGACTCATAACAACCCTCTATGAGTTTCCAAGGCTGTAAATCTTAACAGAAATAGATGTACACAGTCACTGGTGAAATTGAACCTCTGAAGACAAACATCCTTTTCGTTAGAAGCACATGATACAGACTATGCCACCAGAACTCCTTTTATGCTAGGCCTCAAAAGCACACACTAGAGTGGGATGGATATTTCCTTCAAGGAAAAATAGTTATCAGAACAAATTTGGTGGCTTAGTGGTAAGGAATTGTGCTGCCAATTCAAAGGTACACTGTTCGAATCCTCCAACTATTCCATGGGAGAAAGATGGCTAATCTCCTGTTCAATGAATGGCCTCTGAAAATTGGCTTGAGGATCAACCATGGATAGTTCTACTTGATAGTATATACACAACAACATCGGAGAGAACGAATTAATCGGAATTCTCTCTCTCTTTCTGTCTGTCTGTCTGTCTTTTTCTCCCATTCTATAACTGTCAGAGACGAAAGAGTTAAGACCCCATATATCCATCTGAGATCTATGTCTACCTCAAAACAACTCTATGCTGAATTTGCAGAAAGGTTTCATTTCACCTCCAAAACTCTGAACAAGGCTTTTAAGTGGCCCTTCCAAGCTCTCCCCATGGGCAGTGCTACAAATAGCTGTGTTGAAAAGAAGGAGGAAACACAAAATTGATTGGAATCCAGGCTGAGGATCTTCCAGCAGCCCCAGGCTTCATCTGGGCAACCTCCAGGTGAAGGCAACAATAGACAGGGCCTGTCAGGGGCTGGGGATTGTGAGCAAAGCTCATCTTATCATCTCCTAGGAAAAGACTGGTTCAGCTGAGGATTAGACTTGGCCGGCCAAGCCATTTAATGGTAACAAGGAATTACGCCGTTGGCAAAGAATATTGACTCTATCAGGGACTGCCAGAGTTACTAACAAATCTATTTTGAAAGAAGTACAGCCAGAAGACTTCTTAGAAGTGAGGACTGGGAAGAGTTCAACTCAGTTACTTTGAAGATGTCACAGAGAGGGACCTAGAGAAGGACACCATGTTCGGTAAAGTGGAGAGTCAGCAAGAAAGAGGAGGATGCACATGAGAGGGACAGACATAGTGGCAGCAACTGTGGGTTCAGATGTAGAAATGATCATGAGGATAGTCCAGTGCTTCGTTCCGTTTTGCTCGGGGTTGCTAAGAGCTGGCAAGGATTTAATGGCAAAGGACAGGGCACGGTTTAAGTCTGTTGTTCACAGGGTCACTATGAGTCATACTGGACTTAACAACAACAACAACAACAACAACAACAAAGTAACAAGATAAGAATATTATTTTTCCAACTGAGGGGAACATATATACTATGAGGTTTTTTTCCCCCCTCTAAGGTTGATGTTATAGCTTCTTGGGTGCCCTGCATTGACATCAGCTCATACCAATCCTATGAAAAAGGAGATTACAATCTTACCCTGTATTGCACCACCTTTACAATCTCCACTATCAAGTCCATCGCTACAATCACAGTGTCAATCCACCTTGAGGAGGGTCTTCCCCTCTTTCTCTGATCCCCCACTTTCCCAGCATGTCTTCCCTCCATCCCCCCTGGCAACAGGCTCCTTTGGACAACACATCCAAAATATGGGAGGTGGCGTTTCACCATCTTGGTCTGTAAGGAACAATCTGGCTTCACTTCTTCCAAGGTAGTTGTGTCTGTTCTCTTGGCAGTCCATGGTATATTCAGTACCCTTTGCCAATACTGCAATTCAAACATATTAGTTCTTTGGCCTTCCTTATTCATGATCCAAATTTCACATGTATTTGATGCCGTACAGACTGCCATAAAATTGGCTGTTTGGTAGACATGATTTCATTAAAAGGCCTAAAAGACTAAGATTGCACAGCCAGGAGAGGAACAGGTAGCTAAGGAGTACGTTGAAGGACGGAACTGGGACTATTAGGGCTGGAATTGTGTTCTTATCCGGTCATGTAGAGGATTATGCATTGCATTGTTAATCAGAAGGTCAGTAGTTCGAATCCATCAGTTCCTCAGGCGGATGGCTGGTTTGTTCCAATTAAGATTTATAGTTTCAGAAACCTGATGGAAAGTCACCGTGAGTTAGAATTGACTCCACAGCAGCGAGTTATTTTCTGTTTGCAAGTTTTTCTCCAAATATGTATTGGAATCCTTAACCCTATACCTGTGAATGCAACCCCCCAAGGGAATAAGGTTATGTTATGTAATAAAGACACGCTGATTTAGGGTAGCCTTAATTAGAATTGATACTGAGATGTAGAAAGATTAGATTAGTCCAGTGAAGCCTAAAAAATTAATTGCCTTAAGTTCGATGTTGAATTATTAATACACATACCCCATTCATTATAGTCAAGTGGGAACCAACTCATAGATAAGCCTCCAGTGAGTTTTCAGAGGCTATAAATGGCACTGGAGAAGAGACTGCCTACCTTTCACCCAAGGAGGATTTAGTGAAGTCAAACCACCCGTTTTTGCGTGGGCAGTTCAGCTCTTTATTCACGAGGCCCCCAGAGCTCCCAATTCTGACTCATTATTTGTTGCAGTTCATTGCTATCAAGTTGGAACTGAATCAGCTGACCCTCCGGTGGACTTTCTGAGGCTGTAAATCACACAGGAGACGATTTGTCATCTTTTTCCAAGGGAACAACTGGTGAATTCAAACTGAATGACTTTGCGAGGGCAGCACAACTCATAGCAATTCTTTTTTTTTTTTTAAATTGTTGAGTAGACACAAACTCATAGCTGACCTTCTAGCACTTTCTGAGGCTCTAAACTACAAGAGAGCTTTCCCAGCCTTCTTCCTCAGAGCCACTTGTTGTTGTTGTTATGTGCTGTCAAGTCAACTATAACACGTAGAGACCCTATGCACAACAGCTCTGAACTCTGCTCTATCCTGAGCCAATCTCATTGTCCCTGACACACTTACCCTCGTTACTCCAATTTTTGTGTCAATCCATCTCATCCAGGGTCTTCCTCTCCTGCGCTGTCCCTCAATCCTTCCAAGCATGATGCCCTTCTCCAAGGACTGGTTGCTCCTGGCTACATGCCCAGAGTATGTGAGACAGAGTCTCGAATTGCCAGAGAGCCCTGGCCTTTGGGTTAGCTGTGCACTGGACACTAGAGCTCATGGATGGAAAAATGGGATAAAGTACATGTCAGAGTTGAGCTTTTCTGATTGTGGCACTGTGTTGAGGAGTGTTATGAAGCCACAGGCTCAGTCTTTAAGAAATTACTAAATAACTAATTTGTACTTTTGCTTCAGTCATAGGAACGGTAGCACACCTGTGCTGTCCACCATCTCTACATGATCATATGTATAACCTCTCCTAAAGGAAAACATCTGCTTTCCTATATATATTAATATTTTTTTTGCTGATGTTTAAGAAGTTGTTATTGTTAAGTACCATCAAGTTGAGTACAACTCATAGCAACCCTATAAATAAAAGACTTGAACCCTGCGCTATAACTCTCGCCATTTCTCTATGTTCATAGAGTTTCCAGAGGCATGTGGTTTAGGAAGTGGATGCCATTCCTGCTTCCAAAACTGAATCAGTCTGGGAGCTCTACCAAACGCTGTCCACAATGGGTAATCTTTATGTCATTTGACACACCAGTGGTCCAGCATTCAGCATCACAGCAACCCCAAGTTATTTCAGCATGGCAAATTGACAGACCAGTGCTGTGCCACTTAGAAGAATGTTCATCTCAAACACACTTACCACCTTTTATTTTTTTTATTTTTTTTTTTTTTTTTTGAAGGGTTCAGAATCTAAAGGGACATTTATTTGCT